TACGGCCCAAAAAAATAAACAGCTTTAAAGCAGAAATTGGGGGGGGGGGGGACAACGACAACGACTTTGGTCCAGTCACCATAGTTAATATGGAAGGGCTGTGAGAGCTGAAGTCTAAAACATCTGAAGAGCCAAAGATGTCCCATCTGTGCTTTAAAAGTTTTGGCCATACTGTTGTTTATTCCCCCAAAGTATCCGTTTAATAGACAAACCGCTAAATTTGTGAAGCTTTTGTGCTCTCTGTTTTTCTGCTTTTGCAAATAAATACAAAGTCTTGAAAGCAACGATGGCGTAAAAGACAAGAGGACCATGAGTGTTAGTGCTCTTGGAAAGAAAAGTGATCAAATGAATTCATAAACCTCCGGAAGCCTTGGAAGCATTTCCTGCTTCACAGATCGGCTGAGAAATAGTAAAGATGGCTTTCTTTCCTATATTCAAAGGCAATTAAGTGGCTTTAAATATCCCAGAAAACACCTTTGAGGTGTCATCGATAGGTAGATGCACAGCTATCTGGTTGTTAAAACCAGTTAGTTTAGCTGCAGACATTGTACATTAAGCTGAGAGTAAGGCTTGTTGCAGCAGAGGTCTGGAGAGGTTTCTTTTGGGAACTAAAGCACCACAAATCCACCAACCAGCATGACTATTATCGCTGCTGGAATTCTGGGAGCTTGAACCCCCCCCAAAAAAAAAGCCACTTCCTAGCTCTGTTGAATGTAGTGAGATTTGACTTCCAAGTAAACATATGTATACATGCGTATATACATATACTGTACAACATATACATATGCGTCAGTGCAAGTGGTGATGTTGTCAGCCATGGGCTTTCATCACTTATGAAAAGCTTCCTATTCTACTCCACCCTCTGCTTCTGAGGCTTCCTTGGGATCCCTTTTGACCTGCAAAATCCTCAGGATGGGCTGGGGTGGGGCGGGAAGTCTTTAATGCACTGAAATCATCACCAGCATCCTGCCACAAAGATTGGTACCATTGCTGTGATTTGGGGACATTAGAGGTTTCCCTCAATGCTCCCAACAGCTTCCTCAGATCAAGAAGGATCCTGATAGAGCCTCAGAAACTGGGGAATGGAATAGGAACATTTTAATGAGCCATAAAAGCTTGCAGCTGATGATGTCATTAGCTTGTGTGGGCATAAATGTATGCAGTAGGATTTCCAGCTGGTCAAGTTTTCAATCCTCTAAATCAGCCTTACCTAACATGGAGTCCTACAATGTTTTGGACTATCCTCTAATAAGCCTTAGTAAGCCAGTATGCCTGTTTTTCAGACATTGGGGAAGTTACAGTCTGGAAGATTATATGGGGAGGCTGGAAGAAGTTATAGTCTGGAAGACTAATTGGGAAGGCCACTACGCATGCTTATTTGTCAAGGATTCCCACTGAGTTCAATATGCTTTACTTCCTTTCAACCAAGCATGCAGATACAGTAATTGTATTCTATAAGAACCTGGATTTGGTTGGCAGCACTGAAATATTCCAACTTGTTCCTCATTTGCTTCCACAAGAAAACATTTCAAAGTTCTGCTTAAAAACATGTGGTCTCATAATCTTGCAGGGAAAAAAAACCAGAATATTAAGGTCATTTTTGTTCTGTTTAACAGCATCCCTGAGCAAGAAAAAACATACAATACATTTTAAAATTTCAATACCATACAATCCTTTACTGAAGTGAGATTCAATGGGACTTGCTTCTGAGTAAGCACATACAGGACTGCATTTTTTTTAAAAAACCTTACTCTTTGGTTCTTCAAAAGCAAGCCAAACCAAGATTTGGTCCCTGGCAGAATATGTTGGATTGTTGTTTTATTTCTGAGTGCACTTAACTCAGAATATTGCCCCCCTAAATATTTCAGCTCATGCAACCTACAAAGTTTTATCTTTGTTCAGCGCTTATATTTGTTTTACAGCCTGTTCCAGAAGTGACAGCTTTAGTTTCTTCTGCTGGATTATCCCCAACACTCAGTGCTGACAGCGTGGAGTCTTATTGGTGGATGTTACTTGCTTTAAGAAGGATTACATCATTGGTCTCAATAGACTGACCAAACTGGAAGCTTTACAGCTGAAATAAAATGTCATTAAAAAACCTTTTAATATAAAAAATGCTATTGGTAGATTTTGGCAAAATAAAAACTGACATATTTGTCTGACACTCTTTTCCCACAGTTTGGTATAAGGGACACAGTGAACAATATTTACATTTTACAATTCATTTAAAAAGTGATACCCAGTGCAAGCCAAGCTATCCTTTCTTTGTTTGTGGGCGTATGTGTGTGTGTGACCTGTAGGAATTTTACATTTTAAATATAATTTGACAAGATGGAGCGCTTTTAATTACAAGAAGGGCAGACATAAAAAACATTGTGGAGCAAAACATACAAAAACTAGTACTGTTATCTTAGAAACAGCTTGAGATGGCTGATGTACTCTTTGCGCTATGGCATACTGAACATTTGGATGGGGGACTGGCAGAGAGATACTTGCACAATTATACTGCCCACATACTTTCTTCCAGTGCATTTTTTCCCATAGAGCCTCGCACCTGTGGCAGCCAGATCTGTACATATAACTATTCACTCTTAAATACATAAAGCCCTTCCACCTTGCTGTGGAAGAAAAAGATGGGCTTCCTCTTTAAATATTTAAAATGTTCCACTACTATATACATAAATTAGCTACTCCAATAAAGGGGAGGGGGAAGGTCCATCCCTTCATAAATAGAGTCCTCATTCAGTCTCTTTGTACACCCCATCCCTTCGTCTTCTTCAACCCCACCACATCCCACCCAAATGGCCCAGGGAGGGGGAGCCAGCCACACTTCACACATGCCTCTTCATGTGCAGAGCCAGATGATCTGATCGGGAGAAAGCACGGTCGCATAGATGGCACTGGAAGGGCCGGACACCGGTGTGTTTGCGGTAATGGCGTGTTAGTTCATCTGACCGTGCAAATTTCCAACCGCAGCCTTCCCAGTTACAGTGATATGGCTTTTCACCTGGGAAATACAAAAGAAAGGTGTGGTGAACTTTCCGTCTTGGACACGGGTGTTGTTTAGTCCAGGCACATGCAATGTGCAGAGACAATTAGCATATGCAACTTCTGCCTGCCTTTGCATTCCTTGGGCCTGCACACAATCTTTTACATTCCTACTAACACGCCTGTAGCCTAACAAAAATTAGTTCAAATGAAGCGGTGGGGGGGGGGGGAGAGACAAAACCACAGCAAACACAATCCCTGCCTAAGCTAATCACCCTTCCCCCTCATGTTATGGCTCCCAACCAGGGGTCCCTAGATGTTCTTGAACTAAAACTCTCAGAAGCCTTCCCTCTAGCTGTGCTGGACAGGCTTCCTGGGAGTTGTAGTCCAAGATCCTCTGGGGAACCAAAGATGGGAACCACTGCAAAAGCCTAGCCAAAGCGCCTGAGCACTAGCTTTAATCCTGGGAATAACTTATTCTGGCCTCCGCCCATTTCCGAGTGCCGGAACACCCGCGATAATTATTTTGCGCTCGGCAAAGTTTTAAACCGGATTAACATCAGACGTCCCCACGTTGCTTGTCCTCTCAGCACCTACTCGGGAACGTTCCACTAAACAAATCGGGCCTTACTCGTGAGTAAACACGGGAGGGATGACTGCCTACGCGCCTGTTTCAGAAACACTTTAAGGCACCCAATACGTTTTTTAAAAAAACCGCGCCGGGGCAGCCCCAGCAAATCGTCGGTACACAAGCCGCACAATACCCGGACTGGGACAACTGGCCCAAAGCAGGCTCGACTTTCACGGAATTTCAGGAAGAAGAGAGGAACAAATCAAGATCTCCTGGGCCAACCCTTTGCTCCAAGCAGCGGTTGCGTGGAAAGGGTTGGTTCCTAGCCTTCGGGCGCTGGCAGAGTCTGCCCTTGGGGGGACTCTGGGGCAGACTCTGGGGGCCTTTCCTTCTCTCTCCTATCCTGCTCCTGGTAAGGCGTGCGGCTCCTCAAGCCCCGGACCCCGCCGCCCGCGCCCTTACCCGTGTGGGTCCGCATGTGCGCCTTGAGGTGGGAGCTCTTGGTGTAGGTCTTGCCGCACCCGGCGAACTCGCAGTTGTGGGTGGCCGTGCGCTTGCGAGCCCAGGGCTTCCGGCCCCTCTTGGGCTTGCACTCCTCCGGGGGGCCCATCGGGGAATAGTAATCCAGTACGGGCGAGTGGGGCGGCGTGACCAGGAGCCCGTGTAGGCCCTGCGCGTGGGGGGCCTTCAGGGGCTCCCGCAAGACGCTGAAGTGTCCATGGAACTGGGGCGGGACGTGCCCGGCGAAATTTGGCTGGAAGAGGTGCGGGGCTCGCTGGTAGGGGTGCGGGTGGTGCTGCTGCTGCTGGTGCTGCTGCTGGTGCTGCGGGAGGGCTCCCATCGGCCCGTTCAGGTCGCCCAGCAACTGGCAGTGCGGCCCCGGGCCCATCTGCTCGGCGGGGAAACAAGAGGCCGCCTGGGGCGGGGGCGGGGGAGGCCCCTGGTGGATCATGGGCTGCATCAAGAGCGGCTTGTGGTCTAGCGGCGCGGGGGCGGCCGCGGAAGGGGGCCCCAGATAATCGGCGGGCCCGCTCAGCATGCAGGGCTGGCCGTCCATAGGCTCCTGCTTGACCCGCAGGTGCTCCAGGGGCAGACCCCGAGGGAGGCCGGCGTGCGCGTGGGCCAGGCCGGCGGCGCGCAGCTCCGTGTATTCTCGCCGCTGGAGATCGCAGGGGCCCGAGGAGGGCGGCGGCGGCGGCGGCTGTTGGGGCGGCGGCTGCAAGTCCTGCGTGAAAAGCTCAGCCACGTAGCTGTGCCCGGGGCTGGGCAAGTAGGATGCCGCCGCCGCCGCGTACTTGTTCGCGGGCTGGTAGTTGGAGCCGTCGCTGTCGTACGTGGTGCCGCAGCTCTCGGGCGTCTCCGGCAAGGGGTAGTTGGGGTTCGGGTGGGCGGGCGGCGGCGCCCCTCCATTGGGCTGCCCGTTGGCGGTGTGCGCCAGGATGAACTCCAGGTCGACGAAGTTGCCGAGCTCGTCCGCTTCCCTCTTGATGCCGGCGGCGCCCTCCGCGTGAGGAAGGATCTGCCTCTGCGGGAAGATCGCGGGTGGAGGGGGAAGGAAAGGGGACAGGAGGGAGAGAGAGCCGATCGGCGAGGTTAGCCGGGCGCGGAAAGGATTAATTTACCAGAGGTAAAAGCTGCTGCTGCTGCTGCTGCTGCGGGGGGGGGCGTCCCAAGACTATTTATAGAACCCCCAAACCTGCAAAACGGGTTACGCGCTCCTTCCCTATCCGAAGAGTTTAAAAGCGGGCAGGGCGGGCCAGCCCTGAGACTCACTTCGAATTAGCCCCACGCGGCTGAGCTCTCCCGGCTCCCCCTGGCGCCTGCAGGAGCGGACAAACCTACGCACCGCTCCGCACGCCAGGCAAGAGGCAGTCCCACTCGCTTCCTCCTTCCAGCTCCAAGTGAACGCACCCCTTCTCCGAATGCGATTGATTGGGGAGAAGTTAATTAGCTCGACTCTCCCTCGCACCCTCCCACCCTGCCCTTTCCCCATATTTTCATTGGTGCTGCTCAACGAGAAGCCCCTCGAACCAGAAGGAGACTGGCTAAGTCAGCCAGCGCGCGGAGCTCGGAGTGTCTTGAGGTTGCCTTCCACCTGAGCCCCTTCGGAGCCCGTGGAAACGTGGCCAAGCCTTTCCGGCCCTATCGTTAGGCAAGGTGAGGCAGTAGCCCCGGCAGCGGCTATAACTTAGACGCGGGGAAAGGTTGAAGAAGAGTAGCAGCCTGAGTGGCTCTCCTGAGTTCTCCCGCCCCACAGGGGGTTTTTTGGACCCCCTCTGGGCCCTCAGGTATAGTGGAAGAACACCATCTCTTTGCCAGCGGCAAAGCAAAAAAGTCCACTGCTAGTCTTTTCAGCTACCGTGGAGGGGTACCACCTTGACTTTCACATCAGGCAGCAAGATACCTTTGGGTCTTGATCCGAAGTCTGTTCAGCCTTGTAATGCAGGCCAGAATCTATACACCCTCCATATCTCGCAGTACTGAAGCAACATTCATGGCCAAAGTACATTTTAGACGCAAACTGGTATAAGAACATTTCAACAGCGTAGAAAAGGGGCGGAGGAAATGAGGGCCCGTTGCCCTCTTTTCAGATAAAAATCTAGATGTCAGTTTCGGGACGGAGGATCCTCTCGCGGTCGCCCATTTATCAACCTGATGTTACTAAACTAAACTTTAGAACAAAAGAAAAAGAAAAAACCCACCTACCGATCGGTTGCACAAATAATCACAAGCAATATACTCTTCTCCCTTTAGAGGGCTATTAACTTTTCCTAGGATGGGGGTGCAAGATAGATAACGAATTCCAGCAATCATCAGGGCAAACTTTTTTTGCCCGAACATTGGGCCATCAAATCAACCTAAACAAGAACTTCACTCTGCTTTCTCACTCAGCACGTATTCCTAGACCAGGATCCAACTGTCACGTACACATTCTAGTCTGCCCATCCTCCCAAGATGCTGAAAATGTCATCATAACCTTACAACAACCCTGCGAGGTGAGGTAAGGAACTTACCGCTCCCAACTTAAAAAAAAAAAAGGAAGAGGAGGAGGAGGAGGAAGAAAAGCTATTAGATGAAGTTGGTGCCACAAAGTAAAACTTCGGGTGAATTTTGAAGAAGATCGTGGGAGAACCATATTGGTCCCCGCCGATGCCCTCCCTGTTGCCTAAAACAAGCAAACATATCAGGCAAGTTTTTCATTTTGTTGTCTCGCTCCTACAAGTGCAAAGGACGCCAGCAAATGCGAGCGAGCACCACAGGAAGAGGGGTGAAGCCTCCCCAGAACCACATAGAGCTGCTGCCACCCTCCTAAACTCGCACCCGAGCAAGGACGGAGACGTGGGGAGAAGGGGCAGAGGACAGCAGAGGGAGCGATTTTAAACGGAACATCTTGCCTGCGGGAGGGAAGACGCCTTAAGAACTCTTGCTTCTTCACTGTTCACTCCCGCCGCTCTCTCTGATTCCTGTTATTGTTGTTTGTATTAAATATATAATAGCCGCTTTTCGAGTAAGGGCGTCGTTTTTTTGGGGGGGGGGCGTCCGACCGATACCCGCTCTACCTGCGCCCACCCTCGTACCATATCGGGTTGCCTGTCTTCCAGCGGCACCAAGCCGGCAAAAGTGGAGATGGACGGCAAGACGGCTTCTTCCACAGCTACGCTCATCTTGCACGGCGGCTTGAGCGGGGAAGAGCTCCAAACTGCCCGGGAATCCGGCAGCTTCCCCTCCAGGCACTGAGCGATCGCTGAAATCCGTCCCAAAGCAGGAAAAGTTCCTCGCTCCCTTCCACTCGTCGAACAGCTGAGAGCGAGCTCCGCCACTGCCTCATTGGCCGCGGGTCGCTGCATATTCATCGGGATCACGCCGCGCGCCGCCCCGCCCACCGCGAAGTGGCTGCGCTCGGGCAGGTCACGGAGAAAGCAAAGGTAGCTCTCTCTGTGTTGGCCGCAAGCCAGGCGCCGCGTTCGTGTCGCTGCTTTGGTTAGGCCAACTAAACGGTCAGGGAAAATGGGCACGCTTTGGGGATCTCGAGCTCCCTTCGTTAGGCCAGATGTTGCAAAAAAGCGCGGTTGGGGGGGCGTGGAGAAAGAAAAGGCTGCCTGGAGACCGAAGTTTTGGAGTTTGTTCAGAGTTTTAAGAAGAAGCCGGGGAGTAGGGGGTGGGGTCAGCAAGCAGTGAAATTAGAGTCCAGCAGGTGATAACGCGCGAGCCCGGGACCCGTGCCCTTTTAGCTGTGGTCGGGATTAAGAAAGGCAGGCCACGTGGCTAAATGGGATATCTCAGAATTACAAGGAATCGCAGAAAATAAAATCTGCCCAACAGTCCACCTTCACTTTATTATAAACCTTCCAGACAAAGTCACATAACTTTCTCTGGATCCTGTTCAGAGATGCTGTTTCAGAAAGAGTGTTTAGGGAAGGAGATAATGCCGAAGGCTTCACAGAAAATAAGGGTTTTACGAGAGATTTGAAGGGAAATACGACACCGTGTGAACGATCGCATGACAGTCTCTTTACAGCCTCCATCTGTCAAATGATGGAGCAGTCTTTCCCCCACGTGATTCCCTGTCAGTGTTTTGTATTACAACTTCCTTCAGCCCTAGTGATCAGAGGTGATAGATACTGTTCAAACCCTCTGGGGTGGGAATCAGTCTGGGGAAGGTGTTCCTAGGCTGTAAATCCTCTGGATAGGTCCTTCTCCCCTCCTCCGTTGTAAAGTGTCTGGTAACTTAACAATAAAAAGATTTATATCAGGCAAAATCCAAAAACAGACCAAAAATGTGGCAGCTTAAAGACTAACCATTACATTTTTCTGTAAGCTTTCACAGACACGTCCACTTTGTCAAACATTGAAGTCTAATGAAGTGGATGTGTCCATGAAAGCTTAACATTAAAATATAATGGTTAGTCTTAAAGTGCCACATTTTTATGTGTTTTTTTTTGTTTGTTTCTTTGGATTTTGCCTGATATGCTTGCACAAACTACCACAGCTACCTCTTCCTAAAAGATTCATGTTATTGCTGACATTATATTGGGATTGATAGACTGTAGACGACACCTATATGAAGGGATATCTTTGAAAGAGGCTACTTGAGGGTGTGATGGAAAGGATAATAGAATCAGAGCTGGAAGTGACCTAATACTGTATAAGCCAGAATCAGGGTATCTCGACCAGAAGTGCCTGCAGGAATTTTTCCATGGGAAGAGTAAAGCTGCAGAACAGTGATATAGTTAGTCTAATTCATGCCCTTAATATGCATCACTACCAAACAGTGCATCTATGTACATTAAAACAAAACAAAAAAGGTTGGGGTTCCTGGGATGAAGCACTATTCATGATCCGGACACATGCCTTATCTACCAGAAGGCTGCCCAATTTGTTTAAAATTTCAGAATGAAACAGATCCTACCACCTCCACCATCCATTGCTGAATTACTCTCACAGTTAGGAAGTTCAGTCTAGAACTTAGCCTTGGATTTCTGCTTCTTCATTTACGTAAGGCTGTGGAAAGTGCTACCAATTCTCCCTCCCAGCTGCAGCCCCCCAGTTTCTTTATGATCCTGTTTTTCTGCCTTATGTGTGAAAGGCAAAATGTTACATCATAAAAATAAACGGTGTTTTCCTTTCATTAAAAAACTGCATTGTATATTTTCCTCATTAAAATAATATGATAGCTTTTCATCTCCTAAGATCCTTTTAAACAAGCAAGCAAAGTAAAGTGTGCTGTTTATATACTGCTCCATAGTGCTTCAAGCACTCTCTGGGCAGTTTGCAAGATATGCAGGTTACACATTGCCCCCCCCAAGCAATGTGTAAATGTTTGAAAACTGTTTGGCATAGGCATATCCCCCTCAATGCTATTTTGTTCTTACCTGGTCAAACTTAGTTTCTCTATCCTTTCTAAGATTTCTTTTCCTTCCATCTTCTTTGCCACTATTCTGTGAATGCATTCTGACTCGACAGCCTTTGTTAAAAACTAAAAATACTCAGATTTAGAGTCTGAAAAAAAAATAGGTTTTTTTTTGTGAACTACGACTCTACTGGCCATGCTGACTGGAGATTGTACAAACTGCAATATGAAAGGTAAGTTTTTCTGCTCTGACAGAGATGAATGCAGTACAGTACTCCTCTCCCAAGTTGAAACCAGAACTTGAATTAGCAACCTATTTAAAGTTCTGAGTTTTTTGAAGCAATGCTTTCTTTGCTTCAAAAGAGAAATGTTGCTCACCCTATTTGTCATAGAATCACACTGATGACTTGCATTTAGTTTGTTATCTGTGCTAATCCCTAAATTGATTCAGGACTGCTGCTGCTTGTTCAGTTATTTCAATGTCTTCTACCTGTGAATTTGTTTTCTCTCTCTCTCTCTCTCTCTCTCTCTCCACCTGGGTTTCCATTTTTCTTGATGTCTTCTAATGTTGATTGCTCATTCAGTTAATGTTAATGTTTTACCTTGAGAAAGATCAGGTTTACCCTTAGGTCTTGCAATGAAACAAAGGGATATGGCAAGGTTGGGAAGATATTTTCCAATCAAGGGCCTTTGATTCATGGAAAAAGGAATTCAGGAGCTGCAGCTAAGGGACGGCAGAACCAGAATCAAAATGAGTGAAGTCTACACAACAATATTTTGTTCTCTCTCTCCCCTACCTGCATGCTACCCCATCTGTAATTAATCTGAGGGCCACATGCAGTCCCCAAGCCACATGTAAGGCACATATGGTGGATTTTTGTTTTAAAGCAAAGACAACACCCTTCCCAGAGATAATGATGCCAATTCAGAAAATATGTCTGTCTCTAGCAAAAGGATGCCAGGAATCCCAAGACAAATCAAAATAGGACTGGGAAGCCAATACTGTATGTTTACTAGACTGTGGGGGCAGACTAGAGTATTACAGTTACACTTGATATGAAAGTTGCTGATCTAAATAGGGAAGGGAGATAGTGAACAACTGATGCAAATAGAGTTCCGAATCTTATAATAATCTTATAATCTTTCAGTTGTTAGGGAGTTTTTACATAGATGATCCAATCATATCCCATCGTATGTCCTTTTACTAGTTCCCTAAATGATGTTATAATCGTATAGTCCAAGGAGATTCAGAAGAGGCTCCCCTAAAATGTTGCAGTCCCTGCAATTCTGTATCAATACATCTGAGGAGCATTATCCATTCCTTTTTCTACATACGTAATTCATAGAGTTTATAGCAGTAGGCTCAGAGCTGACCTAAATGGAATGCCATCACCTGATATCTTGTTCTAATTTCACGTTAATCCATTTATACGTTTATTTTGGACATGGATATTTATCTTTCCTACCTCTTTCATAAATTAAACAAGCAGAGGGAATGTAGACTGGAAGGACCAAACCGTTGCACATATTTCTTCTTCATATTACACCCTTGCTTGAGAAGAGTATCATAGAAAAGTAATGTAATTTCTGCTGCTTCAAAGTGCCTAAAGTCATGCATACTCACAAGAAGTGGTATGTGCTCTAAGATGCAAAGACAACATGTACACTTCCCTAACACAGAAATGTGCTGGCTTAATGCTGACTTCTAATCATACACTTCTTTCTCCATGAAAAAGTCTTGAATGTCCAAAGTTACTGAGACAAGACAGCAAGAAGGAAGAAGATAGATGTGTGGTTGTTGCTACCTAGAGCCTTAAGTATATGATGGGTAACACTTCCTGTTAATGAACCTCTGAATATCTTTGTGCATACATTCCAGTACTGTATTATATTCTCCCCTTGCACTTTCTCCAGAAATTATGCAAAAACACAGCATATACTGCATGTACTGCAGAACACTGCAGGCATCATCCACTCTAAGCATGTTGCCCTGTTTACTTCCTAAATGGCAGATGAGTCTTCCTGTGTTTGACATATATCAGGCACCCCCACATCTTGTCCCATCCTGTCCCATCCTGATTCCTTGTAATCCCAGAGGACTGGTAAGGGAAGCTGTGAGAACTGTTGAGTATGTTGCCTGCAAAGGTAGCCTCCTACTTTCAACAAGGGGATGTCCAAGGGAAAGTCCTCCCCCCCATCCCAGTTAATTCTCCTTGTCTTGGGAGTACAGCTTTCACTATGTGGATCTATCTTTATATTGTAATTTAGAAGACACTTCCTTGAAAGATCTAAAAACAGGGCAGGTGACAAAATCCTGTAGTGTGGAGTGCTCCTGTTCATTTCCACTCTCTAGTTTTCCATGACCGTCCATCAGTCAACAGTGAATTCCTACTGAACGTCCCCTGTCCTTATTGAGTTGAGTTCTACATATAGTCTATATTTCTCCCATCACACTGATACATTCCTCTTGGACACTGATGGGGCAATTTTAGCTACATGAGTCCACAGTTAAATTGTTTTTGCAATTGCTATATAGGACTAATTTCAACAGAGTTTTCTTCCAAAGAAGTATATTCAGCATTACATTTTTGTGAATGCTAGTTTATCTGATAAAGGTCCCATTATGTTCATTCTCACCATCTGCAATTCCTAAAATAACTTATCAGGTTATTTGGCAGCAATATGAATGAATGCAATTCTTTCACTGTAAGGTGCTTTAGAAATCTTATGCATGCCTAAAGGGTGCTGAAATCTGACATGCATAGATTTCTGGGCATTTAAATTTTGATGTTTGTTTTTACATGAATTAGGCGATTTTAACTGTAGTAGAATTTGGAATATTTGGTTCTCGCAAGGCAGAAAGTATTCCACAAATTTAAGGAGATAAAATTTATTAGGATTCTTCTGGGTT